CCCCAAAACCCCAAAACCCGCCTACTATTTTTCAATCTTGAAATTGCAGATTTAAGAATTAATTAAATACTCAAAAGTAAGCCTATAATTAAGGATCATTCTTTGCTTGTTCAATCATCATAGCACTATCAAAGAATTTAGCAATACTCACATCTTCTAGTAATCCCTTTCTTCTCCTAGTCTTTACCATAAATTCTCTAGCAAGACTTGGGACTGGACTAGGTTCCAAAGGCCTCAACTAGATTGTTTTATCGAGTGGATCTCCAGGAACTACTGCCCAATGAGAAAATTGAGATAAGACGAATGCCTATCCAACTGTGTGAGTTCTGAGATCAGTTTCAAATCCAAATGATTCAATTCCTGGTATTTCTATTTTCAGGACATATAGTGGCGAGCCTGGTTTAGGTTCTTCATGAACAACATGTGCTCTTCTTCTCAGTAAAACGTTATAGATAGCTTCAATACAATCATGAGGACAAGTAACTTCAGCTACGAATATTGGTTCCATAACTCTAGGTGATGCTAATAGGAATGAACTATAGCATGCTCTTCTAGTTGTGGGTATAACTTGAGCACCTCCTCTATAGATTGGTTCATTTGCAAATCTTCCATCTAAAATTTTAAACTTAGAATTCTTTATTGGCTCCTCGCAAAGAGGTCCTTCCTTAGTTGCCCATTAAAATCCTTATACAATAAAATCTCTCACCTGACCTAATCTTTATTTATCTGTCTCTGATGATATAGTATAGTCCATTAGGATGTTCGTACCTTTTCTATGAGGTCCAAAAGCCCAGATTGACTGAGCATTAAGTTCATCCCACTAGAACTCGTTTACAAGAAGATCTGGTATTAATTCAAATAAGCCTGCCTCAATATATTAAGAAAGTCCTTTATCTAGAGGTTCAGCTGACATCTTTAAAATATTCTTTTTGTTTGGAGTCTCTGAAATGCATTGGACAGATGAAGTGTCAATAACAGTCTCACAGAAAGAGGTAAAGGGCTCACTGACTTTAATTTCTATCTCAGCATATTGTTTTCTCAAGTCATGAAATATGGAATCCATATAGAGCTCACCAGTACCAATTACAATGTGCTCACCAGACTCTTCAACATGAGTTTTGGCTAAAGGATAAGTCTTGCTTATTTTCCTAAGACCTTCTAGCATCTTAGGAAGCTCTGATGGATTCAATGGCTCTAATGCTACTTTCACTACAGATTCTGATTGGAAATCAAGGGGCTTGAAGATGTCAATACCATCAAAATCAGGATCAGCTATCGTAGCAGTCTTTGTTATAGATTAATCTATTCCTTCTATTAATACCCAGTTTCCACAAGTCATCATATCAAGGTCAATTTTATATCTTCCCCCAGCTTGCATTATCCATATTTTGCCAGCATTTTTATGGACCATATCTTCTTCATCCTCCAGTGTGTATTACTCTCCTAGTATTTTCAATTCCATGCCCCTTTTAATAGTTCCTGAAATAATTCTCCCCAAGCAATGGAAATTTCCTTGACTTTCATTGTAGTACAATTTAACTATGTTTATTAGGAGCTTCTCTTTAGGATCGCATTTTGATATTCTTTGGACTATATCTCCATCATCGTTAGAGTTTCTGTAGAAATTCTAAACTTTCAATGCTGTGCCCTCTTATGAATTCTTTAAGTGCTCTACCATACTATCAACAAGACAGTCAACTTACCCAAAGAACTTAGTCAATACTAGCTTTAGTAAGGGCTTAATATCGAGCAGGTAATCTTTCTTATTCAAAAATATTCCCAATTTCTTCAAAATAGGCATAAGCTCTGCTTTCTCATTACTTAAAGTATGCGAAACTAGCTTGTAAAAAGGCTCTAGTATAAAATGAACAAAACTTCTGGGAAGTCCTTCAGATTTTCTTTAGAACTTTCTGCTCTCCTCATTATAGAAAATATCACCCCAAAGGAACTTAGTGAATTTCGATGGGTCTAATTCACTATTTTGAATTTTTTAGCTGTGTCTCTAGTACTAATTAGACTCTTTTTGGTACATCTCTTAGTATTTCTATGAGAAAGACTTAAGACTGAATATACATCCAAACAGAGTAGAGGCAAATAAAACATTGTTATTTACTGGGGATATCTACTTTTAACTAGACTAGAATCTTCCCTAAGTACTTTGCTTGTTAAGTTTGAGTTAGAAAGTCTAGACTATGAAATTTATTTCATCTAAAGTGTGCTTTATTTTATGATAGGCGTCGTTCAGAGGAAGTCTGAGCTCTAACACAAGTCTGTCCATTTTATTGATGACGACTACGATGTCCATTTAAGATCTCAAAGCCTCTTTAATTAATCTTTCAGTGAATAGTGTTACACCCTCAATTACGTCCACTACCAGCAACATTCCATCACAGATTCTGTTAGCTGCAGTAACTTCATCTGAAAAATTAGGATGGCCTGGTGTGTCCATGAAATTGAACAGATAGCTCTTCTCTCTAGAATCATTCAAAATCAGAGTCATCGGAACTCCTTTGATGCTCATTTTCCTATCTACTTCATCTTTTCTTGTGTCAGTCCATTTGTATTCTCTATTCAAATTCCAATTCTTCATATGGTGTGTCTATTGCAAAAGAATATCGCAGAGTAGAGTTTTTCCATGATGAAGATGTCCAGCTATGCATACATTTCTAATCAATTAAGGCTTAGTCGAGAGTCCAGACATATATTCAAGAGAATAGGTAGTCTCAGGTATATCTTTTTCGTAAAGATAAAATGACTTATCTCTTGGCGGTTCAATTATTGGTTAAGTAAGAGGCTATGCATCTTCATCCATCACTAGAGTCTCAACCCCTTTTCCATATATTTTCTCTGCCTCTGGATAGTATCTCTTATCCTCATGCAGAACTATCTAGTAGCCTTGCTTGAAATACTGCTCGTCCCTGTCTTCTTGCTCATCCTGCATTTGAGAGCCATTTTCACTGAGATTTGCTTGATTTTTAAGATCTTTGATATCCCTCATCCAGTCATCTTGCTTTCCATCTTCTTCCTCATCCTAAAATGAGATCTTTATAAGAAACTTACTAGCTTACAGATCTTTCTCCATCTTGGCGCTTGTCCTCATCGCTGCTATCGTTGATGTCTGGACCAATGTAGTTTCCAAACTCATCATATAAATCCTCATCCATTTTAATGAATCTTAATCTATTTATTATTTATTAATTTCTATATGTATTACTGATATTATAGAAGTTGTGCTTGTTGTATGTATTGGAAGATGGGGTTTTGGGGTTTTGGGGTTTTGGGG